GGAAGAGGGGGCTGGGCTGGGGGCTGCCCGCGGCCCAGCGGAGCGGCGGGCCGGCCGCCGCACGCTACGGTAGGTGGCAGTGCCGCCCGATTTTATGAATGGAGGAGGAGGAGGAGGAGGGGAGGCAGATGGATGCGGGGAGGTGGTGATAGAGAAGAGGGGGGGCGGAGGGAGGGGGGGAATTTTCTGGCTGTGCTCCGGCCTCCACCTCCGTCCCCCTCGCCCCTGCGCCAGGCACCCTCCCCCCGCCATTAGCATAGGCCTGCCCGGTTTACATGTCGGGCTGCACGTTGCCGCGGCCGGATCCAGCAGCCAGCAGCGCTGGCAGCCGCCCCGAGTCAGCTGCTTCCCCGCGAGGAGCGGCGGGAGCCGAGCGGGGCGGGCGGCGGGAGGCGCCCGCGGGCACCGCCGTTAAGGTGTCCTCGAGGAGATGGATCCGGATCCGGATCCGGCACCGGCACCGCCGCCCCCGCCCGGCTGCCCGCGCCCCGGGCCGAGCGGGACCGCGCAGGTTTTACCCCGGCCTGCCACCGTGACTCCGGGCCCTAGCGTGGCCCTGCGCCACTCTCCACTGTCCCTCGGTGCCCTGTTGGCACTCCCGGGGTGCGGGTGCTGGGAGCAGGCTGGGCTTTGGGGGGCACAGCCGCCTCGTGCTGTCTACAGACTCCCTGCTGCCCGTTTCCATGCCCGGCCTCGCAGGGCAGTGCCGGGGCATCCTCTTCTTCTGCAGCTTCTTTATGCCCCGGGGCATGTTCACAGCCCCACATCCTGCTCTCCAATGATCCACCACTTGCATCAGAGATTCCCTTCGGTGGGGAAAGCCAGGAGAAGAAGCTGAGTAACTCCCTGGTATTTGCTGGCAGAGGCAGGAAGTGAGGTCTGCTTGGTGCTTTGATATAAGGAGAGGAAAAACCTCCTTTCCTCTTTTTTTTGTGTTCGTTTCTGGGGCCTCCGAGGCTCACCTGGGACTGTATGTGTTGGTCGTTTCCAGCTGGATCTGGGATTTCCCACTTTAGGGACCAGGACAATAGCTTCGCTGGCACAGCTGTGGGACCGGTGACTGAGCGGAAGAAGTGACTGAGCACAGCCCTACAGCTTCCATCTCCCCCCGGGGCGGGTGTGGATCATGCCTGCAATGCACCACGAACCAGCCCTTGCTGTTCCCAGCAGGGAGTGAGCTGGGGCAATCGCTGCTTTCCTATCCACCCTGCCCGTTCTGTCATACGGCAAATGAAATTTCCTTCAGAGGCAGCTTTGTCTGCCTGCATTGGTGAGGTTTCCTTCTGGGGAGCGTTGGAGGTGCAGAGCTACTGGTGGGGAGCTCTGGATAAGATGCTGAGAGAGGCGCTTCTCCAGGAGAGAAGGTCTAACATGGCTTTTCCAAATAGCACATTGACCCAGTTCCTGCTGGGGGTATTCACCCATGTGTCACCCCCATGCCACTAGGCAGGAGCAGAACTGTCCTGAGGTATGGGGCCAGGGACCCCACAGAAAATGCCACCACAGTGCTTTCAGTGGCTTTCAGTAGCACCCATGTTACTTAGGGGATGGGCAAGGATGGTGCTGCAGTACTGACCTCTTCAGCATGGCCAGCTCTGCCCCAGGAATGATGCCATGCTGATCTAGTGGTGCCCTTGGAACTGTTTGGGCACCAGTTCAAGCACTTTGGTCCTGCTCTAGCCTGGATGATCCCTAAATGCCTGACCTAATGTGATTTCAGCAGGACACAGGGCTTTTCATCACCTGTTGCCTGACCAGTTAGGTAGGATTGCTGTGTGCTGGGAGGTGGTTACTCTAAGGGTGTCTGTGCTTCAGTGATATCCTGGAACCTGCATGATCTTTCATCCAGAGAGCAGGCAAGAGAACTCCCTATCCAGTGGAGTGAGGTGCCCCTGGGGCTGCGAGGGGATGCAGCTTGTAGTGCAGTAAGGAGAGCCTGTAGTGGCATAGATGCTTCCACATTGTGGTGGGCCCGAGGTCCCTGCCTAGTTTTGCACTTTGCAGCACCTCCAAGCACTGGCATCACAGGCCTTGATGGGCTCAAGCCCAGGGAGGATGAGGGCACAGCTTGCCGCCCTGTGTTAACTTGGTTCGAGGAAAGAAGAGCATCTAAACTCCAGATGAAGCATGGAGCAGAGCCCAGCTGCTCAGCTGGGCCTGCAGTTTCTTACCTCCACCCTGTGACCAGCATTAGTTCTCACTGCTTGGCTGCCAGGAACTCAAATGGTGCCTTGCAGGGACAAGCTGTCAATCCAGGGATTTTTGTTTTCATATTAAACCAGCTAAGTATTCAGAATCAGTTCCAGCTACCACCACAGGGAAAGCTACTCCAAGATACATAAATCCGTGCCAAACCTGCCTGTGCTACCTCTGAGGCAGCAGTGCCACTGCTCTGTGGTGCTGCAGGGAGTGGGTGTGTGGCAGGGCTCCTACCACCGTCCAGCACTCACACGGTGTCCAGCCGAGCTCATGGGGAGAGGATCTCTGTGCAAACCTGCCAGGCAGCACACAGGGAGCTTGCCTGGTACCATTTTGCTGAGGGGCATCCAAATGCATGCCCAGATCCCTGTCCTCAGGCAGCGGTTGGAAAGGAGGGGATAATGCTTGCCTGCAGCCTCAGGGGGAGGAGAGCAGGATGGGGGAGCTGGTGTGCAAGCCACCATCCTGTGCTCAGGCCCTGTGGCTGTGGGGGACACCCACTGCACACCCGTGCACGGGGCAGGATGAGACCTCGCCGGGTAGGACAGCCACACTCGGGCCATTTGCTGCGTGCCTGGCACTTTGTCTTGCTGGGTTTTCCCCATGTGGTTTGCGGGACCTGGAGCTTGTTGGCCTGCTGGGCACACCACACAGCATATCCCTTTTCCAGGGTGAGCTTGTCTGGCTCTCCCAGTCCTGTTTTGGGAAGCAGGGATCAGGGGAGTACGTCCTGCCGGGCACGTAGGCCATCCTTGGGTAATGACTCTGAGTGTTTGGCCGTCTGATGCAATGAACTAATTAGGAATTTGCTGTCACCACAGCTGGACTCACCTGGTTTGTACGCTACAGCCGGGTGATCCTCACTCCGTGTGACAGTCCTCCAGCCTCGCGGGGCACCAGGAATAGCAGCAAGGGGATCACATGGCCACTCTGGCTGTCCTCCCCTGCACTATGACAGCCTTCTGG